TGTGGATACGGGTTATATTCCAATATAATTTGATTCGAGTTCAATCCAGAACCTGTCCACATTCAAACACATTTCATTTCAAATGTTGAACTGATGAACCACCTCTGGAGTTCCTGCTCAGTGCATGTGCACCACACTGGATCTGCTCTCCAGCACATCACACATTAAACTCTGAGGTACGATAAGCACAGTTTCTTCTACAGCAGACAAATGCACAACAGTTTTCTACTGGACACACATTTTTTGAGTAGAGGGGAACATGAAGCCTGAGTTGCTCCAGGCTCACTAGTGATACTCCTGGCTCATTCAGGAGGGTTGAATAAGGACTAAACAGTAACCCCATGCTGTGATGCAAACCAAACCAGATAACCAGACATCTCGACGGTAATAGTTTGAGGTAAAACTGCAGCGTTTACGCACCAATTCTTTGTTTAAGTTAAGTTAAAACTGCTCCACTGTCTACATCAACATGTCAACTAGGCTTAAAGGTGATGAAATGAGCCTGGCCTGTTCAGATGGCAGGTAGCACAGTAATAACACAGCCTCCATGTCAACTTGGTGGTGGATACACTGTGCTGACAGAAGGTCTCTCTGAGGTGTGGCCCGGTAACAAATGTTCGCAAAGACGGAAGATTAGATGGAGCTCTCACCTGCTCGGTAGTTTTCAGCTGCTCCTCTCTCTCACACACACTTTCCCTCTCTCTCTCTCTCTCTCTCTCTCACACACACACACCGTCCGGCAGCACCGCCTCTGTGTGTGCACGTGTGTGTGTGTGAGTGTGTCCGGTCCGCGGCGGTAAACCCAGCGGAGGAGGCGGAGCTGAAGTGTCACACCGGCGGTGAGAGCGCGGAGCGGCTGCAGGTGAGGACCCACCCAGTCCCAGTTAAACATTACTGTCCACTAATCCCTCCGTGCCGCGCTGCTCGCCAGTGAACTTGAATGTCAGGGAAGCAAATGCACCGAAGTAACTTAACATTATCAGGTTTTTCTCACAGAGACACATGTTACATGCACATTCCTCCAGTGGATCTAAAGCCATAAAGGGGCCACAATTTACAGAGGGGCCAATTATATACCCAACAGCCATGCACAGTTCCTGGTTCAGTATATAAAGTGTATAATGATATCTAAATCAAGTATATTTAAACTAGATGCAGGACAAACATGTTTAAAATGCATTTGTCCCTGCTGTTACAGGCCTGAACAATATGAGGTATTGTTTTTATGTCCACTGATTGTGTGGCTGCTCGGCTGGCTGTGTAACAAACTGCCCCTCAGGGACAATAAAGTTACCTTGAACCTTGAAGTCATTCCTTGATAACTGTTAGCTCTAGCTTTAAGCACGCATCATTGTATATATTTTGAAAAGAAATTGGTCCTTGTTCAAGGTCATTGTGTGTTAAAAAGCAAAGCAAACAAGCAGCCACAGCAAGAAGGTTCCTGGTTTGAACCCCGGTTCTTCCTTGGTCTTTCCTGTGTGGAGTTTGCATGTCCTGTCCGTGTTTTCATGGGTTTTCTGTTCAGTCTAAAGATATCTAGATCGTGGTTAAGTTAATTGGAGATTTTAAAACTGACTGTAGAGCTGCTTTCAGATATGTACTGAACTACGGAGATCCTCAGGACATTCTCCAAAGAGACTGCATGTTTGAACGCAAATGTCTCACTGAGAGACTCTGGACTCTGGACTTTCTCTAGCCAGTCACCTTGTAAAAAGTCTGCAGACCCGAAGTGAGAACACTGCATGATTCACTGTGAGCAATTCACTGTGTTGATGATGTTTCAAACATAAGACAGATGCAAAACTGAAAAAAACCCAACAGACATCAGCAAAGATGTCCAGAGAGGTTTTGGTAATAAGGGTGGATACTGGTTTCAGTGTGCTGAAAACAAAAACATTTGATTTCCACAGCAGAATCAGTACGTGACATCCTGCCTGCTGCTCCACCCCTAAGAGAGATTTCTGAGTTGTTTTTTCTTCCTTTCTGTTAACTCCAAAGAAGGTCTGGAGTTAGCCGATCAAAACTAATAATCAGTATAGATGACGGATGGACGGACCGTTAATACTGTTAGTAAGTGACTATTTTTCTGACAGGACTGGGGCACTTCATGGGCCAATTAGATTTCAGTGCCTGGGTTGAACGAGGATGTAAGAGGAATGATTCCTCATTTTTAAATTAAAAGATGCCCGAATACACCTGAAAGTCTTTTCACAGCAGACAGTCTGATTGGTAATATTTTAGGTTATGTTCAAGTTTCCTGGTTCCAGAAATGAGAATATGAACAATACCAGGGATCAGGATCCTGAAGTAAACATCATTCATGTTATTATTTCTCCTGCTGTGAGAATGCACTGGCTTGTATAATATGGCCTTTTACATTTAATTAATATCAGTAAATCTTTCAGTTAGTCTACTAAGAGTAACCAACCGCCGAGAACAACAGCAGAACAACAGTGGTCTATAATAAGCTGGACTGAAATACCAAAACATGATTTAAACAGTCATAACTTGAACTGACTGGTGATTTGGAATATTTGACATTTTCTCTCAGAGCCCCTTGAGGTAAACTGGAAAGAGAGGTAAACAAAGCCATGAATGAATCAACAGTGAAAATTTGTTTCAAAAAGTTTTCCATTCAGAGTAAGATGTGTTTGTTGTTTGTGTGTGTAAGGGTTAGATATTTTAACCAATGTCATTCCTTCCCACGTGAAAGCGGAAGCACCAAATAAAATGTTTCCACTAGCAGCATAGTGTGTTTCCCTATGTTGCTTCAATGGCGTGCGTAGGGATAGCTCATCACCGACAGGATTTGAACCAGGGGAATTATCAAGAGATGACAGTCTCCATCGCCAAGCTCATTATGTGGTGCCAGCCGAGTCAACTGATACACATCACATATCCCTAACCAGCAGCCGCCTAATATGGTGACAATCTACTCTGCAAGAGGTCAGTGTGGGTTTGTGGTTAGCCTTGGTATGAGCCAGATTGATCAGCTAATTGGCACGTGCTGTCTTGAAATGGAAAATCGATGGAAGTAGAGACATGTTTATGTGTTAACACTGATGCTCAGGGGAACGACAGTGAAGTGAGACAAAGTGAGATGTGGGGAACGAAAGACTAAAGCTGTAAAACCCGCTGTCAGGAATCACTGCAGGTTGTGCAAGGTAAATCCCAGAAAAAGCTGGAATACATAATTATCTACTGCACAGTGTAACACAAAGATGAAAGTAAACAGCAAGCACAAAAACAACACATACTTTAAACTGTAAGTTGTAATCAAAGGCATTATATGAAACTTAGAAGCACCAAGGACAGTGATCAACAAAAGCACAAAGAGATAAGCAGCAGTTCAACAAGAGGTAGACGGGAATTAACTTTAAAAAAATTGTCAGGGAGAAATAGTTGTGAGGAGATAAAGAAACAGTGAGAGAAAAGCTGGGAAAACTGACAGAATGATAAATACATGAGAGAGGTGAGAATGCTGGTGGAAGGTTGTAATCTGTCCACAGCTATGCTCTTTGAATAGGGAAACATCTGGAGAAGGTGTTTGACCTGATTGCAACACACTCAAAAAGCGAAAATGAACAGTTGAAAACCAGGAATAGCCTCTTCTTTTCATTCTGCACATGCTTTCATGTATTTTACAGTGTGTGTGTGTGTGTGTGTGTGTGTGTGTGTGTGTGTGTGTGTCAAATAGCAAGTCTCCATGATGTAAATCATTTAATTTTAAGGTCTTGATTTAAGGTAAGGTTTAAGTTAAGGTTAATGTAAGGTTAGGTTTAGATAAGGTTAGGTTTAGATAAGGTTAAAGTTAAGGTTAAGGATAGGTTAGGCTTAAGTTAAGGTTAGGCTATAATTGGGTTTAGGTAAAGGTTAAGGGGTAAGTTTTGGATAGATTTAGGTTGAAATAAAAACAAATAACAGCGGGAACGCAGAACGCAAATCAGCTTGCAATTCATTAGAATTGACCCTTCATGTGCTTTTTCATTGCAATCCAGTTGTGTAGTAAATCATGCAAATGTGTACACTTTAAAACACAAACACAATCCCAGCAAACATTTCTAACACAGCATTTGCTTTAGACTCCTGATGAAGACTGTGCTTGGCGGATGTTGATGAGAGGTCTGCACAGCAGCAGATATGATCCAGTCTTTGTCATCCTCACTTCACTCCCCTTAAATGGGCTTTTTGTATTTATCATGACCAAGGTCTGCCCTCTAGTGAGGAAACACATCCAATGGAAGGCCTAAATGTGGAGCCTGAACTCCAGTCAAAAGACAAATCGTCTGGGTTTGTTTGGATTACGCAAAGACTGCTGGACAGAAGTCTTCAACCAATATTGGTGATAAAGAATGTGGATAACACTTCTCAGCTTCTCACTTTATGGGGTGATTAGATTAAATGTGCCCCTTTTTAATCGTAGTGACATACCTTTAATATTTGTGATGTCACATACCATGAGACACTTAAGGATATTCCCAACAGACTGTTTTTGTGTGAGCTTGGAATAGTTAGTAACGCCAGCATGAACAAGTTAGCAGCTGCTACATTAGTCAGATTTACATGTGTCTGTCAAATATGACGATCTCTTGGTTGTCTTTGTTGCCGCCCCCCATCATTCAACTTGATGCACTTTCCTTAGACTCAGAGCGCCAACAAGGTCCTGTCTATACGGTATACGGTCCTGACCATATACCCTTAACCTGAACTGACCATTCAGTTCTTCTGGAGTCCCTTCTGGAGAACGTCCAGAGATCCTCTGGAATTCAGTTTATGTCCGAGAGCAGCTTATGTTTGAAATGTATCAGAAAACTTTGAATAGTGGCAGCATTTGTACTCTTACAGCTTCAGGTGGAAGGTGAATCCTCAAAATGTTTTTTTAAAAAGATTAATGAGGTGAAAATAACAATTCTATCTGTTTCCAAGTGAAATAACTGTGATGTCACATGCCACAAGAAATGTTAAGACATTTGCCATTTTGGTTTCCCCACAGCCTGTTTTAATGTGGAATATAGTTATTAAAGGGATAGTTCACTGAAAAGTGAAAATTTTCACTCATTATACTCAGCACTATACTGATGGATTAGGAGGATGGAGTCCTTCTTTGGAAGTGATAAAACAACAGAAAAACATAACATGCCTTCATACAGCTCGTGTGGTGTCATCCAAGTGTCGACAAGCCCCGACATTTAAATTGACTTGAAATGGCAAATAGAAAAACAATGTTTGAGTGTTCATAGATAAAGGAAGCTGCACATAACATATATTTACAATGCAACAAATATCACATGTTAATGGTTACCATGCCATTATCTTCCACCCTCCTCCAGATCGATGCATATAGAAACAGCTTGTACTTGCTACACAAATACATATAAATGACAATAATACAAACAAAAAAAAACTCCTCCAGAGCTGAAGCACAGCAGAACAAAACATTCATTTGATGCCTGCCATCTCGTGGATCCACCAGTTAGCCTGCACTGTCCAGCCCAGCTTCTCACACTCAGAGATTTGCTGGAGGAAATGCTCCTTGGCCTCCGCCTCCCCCTGTTCCTCCTGGAGCACCTCCCTCAGGTAACGCATGTCCTCTGAGGAACTCAGCTCTGGGATGCCGGTCAGCAGCATGAGGGAGAAAAGAGTGACCAGCAGACGAGAGTGGGAGCGCAAGGAGAGGTAGGCTTCTGTGCAAGTGTCCTTATGGTGGTAGATGGAGTGGGGAAGAAAAAGTAGAAGAGGGAACAAGGTCAAATATTGAGGAAATAAAGAGGAAAATATAATAGGATGCAAGAAATCATAGTTTTATGGTAATATTTTACTATTTTACTCATAAAATGCCAGTAAACACGCACAGTGGATCCACTTGAATTCTTACTGCATACATTTCACCTACATCCCCATCGTGCAGTTGAAGTTTGGGGGGGGGGGGTAAAATATATATTTGTAATTTTTTGCTAATTTGTTGAATAAAGGCAAAAAAAATATATATATATATATTATAATGATATTCATAGTACTCAAGTAAATGGGTTAAAAGATGGGTTTGGGTTTTTTGAAAAAGAATCAATCTGTATCTGATTATCACCGTTCATCAAAGTTCAAGACTTCATCATCTGAGCATCGGACTTTAGAATTTGCTGATGTTCCATAAAAGGAAGTGGCGAGACATCTCGGACCCTACTTCTTTTTATTATGGACGAAGCTGCTGTAATCTTTTTTTATATTCGTCAACTAGCCATTTATTCAACGAATAAGTATTCTCTGTGTATCCAAAATAATAAGGCCCTCAATTGTATTGGATGAGATGTTCAATATCATTTACACAATATAATGTACTTTAATTTGAGTCAGTTACATATGTTGCTGGAGACACCAAATAAGTATTACTCCACAGCTGAAAATAGTCCCACTATAATCAGTTCCCTGCTGTTTTTAGGAAATGACTTGTTAAAGTGAATAAAAGAAATGAAACATCTTGTAACCTGTTTCCTTCATCAACAGGATCTTGTGTGCTTGGGGCTTCAGGAATGGACAAAAATAACAACTACACACAAAAACACACACAATCACATCTACACACCCATAATCAGATCATCTTACCCTGAACCGCTGGAAATAGAGGCTGTTGCGTCTTTTGACCCTGCCCATGACATACAGGAAGTCAGGTGTGAGGACAAATGGGACACGCTCCCTGTTCATACCAAGAAAGTGCTTCCTGTTACCCAGGATGTGACCGAAGTCGATGTGAAACAAGTTCCCTGTTAAAAAAAATAAACATCATGAGAGTTCCTACTCTTCATTCATCATTTGTCTTCTTAATTCAGTCTCATTCGTTAATTTTTGTCAGTCGTTCACTCGTAGTGTCATTTTAATCATGGAAGGACTGAAAGATGAAGTGTTTCAGGGATGTGTGAGGCTTACCCTGGTCTGTGATCATGATGTTGTCACTGTGTCGATCTCCGATACCCAGGACATAAGTGGCCACACAGTAACCAGCACATGACTTCACAAACCTCTCCACAGTCTCGTAGTGCTGTAGTGAAATGAGATTACAGAAGTCCAATGAAATATTTCGGAACAAGACAGATCAAAAGCAATCACGCACAGACCAATATGACCCAGCATGTGATTTGGCCAACACACGAATCTGGATCAAAAAGATATTGTATAAAACCAGGTTCTGAATCGTCTCCATATTTTCATAAGACTTACAATTTCCTGGAGTGGACACTTGGACTTGAGCCACTCAAACAGAGCATCATTTCTGAAAGCTGAAGCTGTTCCTCTGTGGCACCTCTGCACTGCAGCAATAGTCACTGCATTCCTCACGATCTCAATCATACCTGTTGAGCAAGCACTTGATTAAAAACAGGGGCTGGTGGGAGCAAATGGAGGTTTTAACAGCATCAATAAAGCGTGTGGAAACATTAGCTGTTAGATCTCAGATGAAATGTCGTCATTCATCTGCCTTCTACTATCGAGGAATTTGAGGACAACCCGAAAAAGTGGCCAGACTCGAGTTGAATTTGAATGTCAGGCCTTACAGAAACTTGGATGACACCACACAAGTATCATGGAGGCACGTTATGTATTTTTTACGTTGGAAGAATTGATCACCAGTGACCTCAACTGTTTTGGATTTGGCTGTAACACTGTTTACCCCTGAGACTCCAAATGCATTTTGTGGATTTAAACCTTTCACCCACCCCTTCATCGGCATTGGCTGAATAATGACTATGAAGGAATATGAGTAGGCCTACTTTTAGACAAATATTATAAATATAAACATACAATTCTTATTAATGTAATACTTTTGAAAAGAACTGTGCAATCTGGTGCAAACCAGAGCCACAGTCCTGAGTCAGTTAAGTAGGGTTCAGAGGACAGCTGCTGAAAACAGAACCAAACAGCATGTATTTTAAAAAAATACAAATAAAATCTTTCTTTCTTCGTCCAAATAAAAATATTCAAAGTGTTTGAGAGGGGTATTTCTAAACCACACTGATGTTGATACCTATGTTGTGTCCTGTGGAGATGCAGCCATATGGAACAAGGTTAAGGTCCAGAGATTTCTCCTGCCAGATAGAATCCATCACCATCAATGTCTAAACAGGAAGATGCACATGTGTCACTTCACCCAGAGATAAAATACATTAATCAACACCACACAACAACATGAGTTAGATTACTCGAAAGCCTGGTGTGTAATTATGGACAATCTCCCTCACCTGAATGACCAGCATGTCCTGTCTGAGGTCGTCGCCTTGTTTGAAGATTATTCCGACAGGTGTAGCAGAGGTGGGCGACGGCATGGGAGAGAACTCCAGCCACAGAGGCTTCTTCTTAGAGGCCATCACCTTGCACTTATCCAGCTGGACGGGTGGAACAGAAAGAGAACTGATCTTCTTTTCAATTTTAAAAGGTCTTGAAGTCAATTTCTTTACACTCCTGATAAGGTCCAGACAACTCTGTCCACTGACTCCCTCAAAAGATAACTATGCCATGGTCTGTCCCTGAACTCAAGCCACTGAAAATCTGACCAAATAAGCAACGAACACAACAAACGAGAATCTGTTTGTTTGCTTGTTTGTTTATTTGACTCTTTACTGACTCTCTATTTATTGATGGCTGTCAGGAGTTGGAGAGGATTTCAACAAACAATATAAAAAGTGTCTCAGAAACAAATGACCAACCCTACCGTTTGCAGTGGGGATTGAATTTACCCTTTTTGTTCACTTCATAATCAACAACATGTCATCTGCATACAACAAAAGAATCATCGGCCGACCCCTCCCCTCCCTGAAGGATCTCTATAACTCCCGCTGTCTCAGGAGGGCACGCAGCATTCTAAGAGACAGCACACATCCAGGACACCGGCTGCTTGAGCCGCTGCCCTCAGGCAGAAGGCTCAGGGTTCTGAAGTCACGGACTGCAATGATAAATGTAAATGTAAATATCTGACTCAATTCATGTGTCATTCCAGCTGCAATAACACTATGGGACTTTCAGTCCTTGACCTTTCTGTGCAATAAACACTTTCGGGACATTATAGGTGCAATAAAACACTTTGTATATTATCCAGATTATCCAGATATATCGGTACGTTATCGGTATATAGTATATAGTATTTATTCTGTACAGTTTGCACTTCTCCAAATATGCATATCATCTACATGTATCGGTACAATTATTCTTTTTTGTATAGTACATCCACTTCGTTAAATGCCTTTAGCCCTGGAATCCCCTTATTTCTATCTCAATTTGTGTAGTGGTTTGTGTCTTGTGTCTTGTTAATTGTATGTTTGGCATCGAGGAGGAGGACTGTGCCACAATTTCGTTGTGCTAGTGTACGAAGTACGACTGTACAATGACTATAAAGTCTTTTGAATAGAATTGAATTTGAATTGAACTGCATATGCAAATGTGTGCTCTGTATAAACATATCACCCAAACTGGCTCCATCTTCAGACTCTAATATTTCAGTCATAAGTATTTCAGGAATCCAACACTCATACTCCACATTAACAGAATACTCCTACATTGTAAAACATAGATTTTAACCAAGAGATTGTGAATTGGGCTTAAATAAAGGACACAAGCATCCTTTCCATGCAAAAAATGATGGAAGGGAGAACAAAATTAGAGGTATGAGAGTCCTGGAAGAGAGACAGAAGAACAAACTCACAGAGAGAGTGGAAGGAGACGAGTCAGACAGAAAAGAACTCAACATAAGAGAAAAGGAAGTGTATAAAAAAGACAAGGCAGAATGACAAAGAAACAGAAAGAGACACCAATGAAGAGAGGGAGAGACGACCTGGTGACTGTGACGCACTCAGCTGTGCCTCATCTTTTCTCAGCTCTATGATTTGATTATTATCTGAATCTGAATAGGGGTGTATTGTAGGTTAATAGGGGATTTGCTGTGGTGTGTTTTAGCAAGCATAGATATAAAAAATAGAAAAAACATAAAAATAAAAAACAATATAGAAAATGAAAATATCCTAATTACTCGAAAAATGGATTTGGACAATAACATATTTAAAATATACAGTACCTTTCACTTTGTAAACTTTTCAGTAGCTACTTTCTGTTTTCATTTAGCTGAGGAGCAAGTATTATTTTTATGTTATGGTCAGTGTGAGACTCACACACAACTAAACATGCTAAAGATATTATTTAAAAAATAAGAACACCATAATTCAACTCAAATGCACTCAATTTAACACACACACGAACAGAGTATTGACAAAGATTACCAGGATCATTCCAGCTTTGATGCGGGGGTCAATGGGCAACAGGAATTCATTTGGCAGATTACAGCTTCTGAGAAGCTCTTGGAGCCTGAGGGGAGCTGAAACAACAGAAAAAAGAAACAAAAGACTCACATCATTTTTTTTTTATTAAATCAACTTAAATATTTATCCTGTTTTTTCAGACAGGAGTACCTGCTACAGGAAAGAAAAAATATTTGACTCACTAATCAAATGGATATATTAACTGAGACTGGTAAGCGAGTTGCTAGACAAGTGGTGTGGCACAGGTTTTGTAACACAAGATGGAAAAAGGGTGGTTGTGTTCCTGCCAGAATTCTTGCTGATGAATTGGACAGGTTGTGAGACATAAACATGACAGGAAATGTTATATCCTGCTGTGAATGCAGGAATACATTATATGAACACATAAGTATGTATGTCCTGGTTGTGTCCTACCTGTAGGATGGAGGTCAGTCTTGTCAGGGAAGAGTCTCTTAATCATTAAAGCGACCTCCTGCAGAGCCTCCACAGCTTGGACCTGCTGGGTGAAGCTGTCGAGCATGGCCTGGCCACAGCCCAGCAGGTAGGCCTCCAGAATCACCGCCATGCGCTGGCGGAAGTACGGACACCCTGCCACCTCGCTGCGGACGTACCAGAAGAAGAAGTGGCCGACTCTCTTGCTCTGCAATCAAAGATGTGAATGAGGCCATGTTTCACTGCAATTAGACTTAAGTGCCTCACTATTGTGTGAACCTCCCAGACAGTGTATAGGTGAAGTCAGTCATTGAAAATAACACAGTGAATTTCACACAAGAGGAGTAGAAGAGGGCAGGAACTATGATGATTAAATGTTATGAGTCTGTGTCTTTTATCCTAGAACGTGATCTCAAGGATGTTCTGTGCATTTGAGTCTAATTACTCTGCAGTGTCAATAACCTCTGTATAACACGAAATGTATTCAGTTTAGTAGTTTTTCAGAGAGACAAAGCATTAAATGAGAATATAATGTTCTAGATTTTTCTTTTTAAAAGAAATGAATAGATACCAATAAAAACTGGTAAATGCTCACTGACCTCCTAGTCTTAACATAGTATGATGCTGTATGTACTAATGCTGCATAACTCACCCGCAGAGCTCTTTGGATGAGGTAACGAGCAAGGAAGCTGTCATGGTAAGGTTCCACTTTAAGGGTCTGTATGAATAAAAAGGACAAAGAAAAACTGTAAGTAATGACACTAAGTTACAGTCTGTATATCTACACACAGTGGAATCCTTTTTTTTTTTAAATGTTATTACGAATTACTCGGTTTCCACTTATATTTTGTCGTACTTACAACTTCTTGTCTAACTTTTATACAACGATGCATTTTGGCTTTTTAACTGGTGAGGATGCTGCACTGACTCTGATGCACATGAAGAATCCTTACCTTTAGAAAGAGAAGTTGTCCAGAGAGCTACAGTTGTTATTCAGTTGTACAAAAGTTTTGCAAATAGTGCAAATGGGACAGTTGTCCTTTTTCACTCTGTAAAATCGATTTTGTGCTCCTCCTCCAGAATAATCATTTTTTTCAATTTTCATAATTTAAAGTGGAGTGTTCCCAAAGCAGACACCAGTGTACATTTACTAGGGACAGCTGCTAAAACATGGCAGCAATATCAGTGGTTGGCAACGATTAGTTGACTTTTGTTTATCTCTGTCAGACATGAAAGATACACTTTTTCTGAAAAATATTAATTAAATTCTCAGAATTGTAAATGTTGAATCTGCTGGACAAACTTTTCCGAGCTGAGTTATTGCAACTATGCAAAACTTTGATGCAATGGCTGTGGTTTTTAACACTTGAATGTATAATATTGATAGAAGCTTCCAATAGAAAATACATCCATTTTGTTATATTCACAGTTTTCAGATCAACAGCAGACACTTATGATGAGTCTTCTTTGAAACAAACCTGCACCAGCTGTAGCAGATACTTCAATACATCATCATTGGACAGGCTCTCCAGTCTCTGGACAGCAAGTCTCCTGACCCTCTCATCAGCAAAATCCATGCTTAACAGCTGCAGGGCCAGTGTAAGATCCAGATCCTCAGTATCCCAGTTTCCCAGTAGCCAGTGCACATCCTTAACAACATTCCGGTTCATCCAATCAACATTGCGCAGGTAGAGGGGTAGGTTGGAGGCGTAGCGGACGCTCTCCTCTCGGAACCTTTTTAGGCAAGGATTTTTGGTGTTGACATTTGTGGGTGGGGAACTGAGAGCCACAGTGTCACTTGATGGGCCCTGAGGAGGTTCCAGATCCTGAGAGGAAGAGACTGTGCTGGGTAGAGTGGAACAGGGTGAAAGGTTGTGAGAGGAGGCAGTTGATTTAGTTGGGGAGAAGTTGGAGGTGGGACTGCCGGAACATTCAGAGGCACTAAAGCTATTTGGCAGAACCACAGGGAAGCTGTAGCGGTCTAGAAGGAAGCTTATAGCCATGGAGTCTACTACGTCTGGGTTAGTAGCAGTGGACAGTTTGTCTGCCTGGTAGGTGATGGCCTCTTCCTCCTGGCCAGGGTAAGACCACATGTGCAGGGTGTAGGAGCCCTGGCTGAGGACAGACCTGCAGGGATGAAGGTCAAAAAACACATGGCTTGAGAACATCTAGTGAATTATTATTATAAAAACAACTAAACTGTTTAAAGGTACAGTGTGTAGAATTTTGTGATATCTATTGCTGAAATTGCATGTTGCAGCTGAACACCCCTCATCTCACCCTCCCCTTCCAAACATGAAAAAGAACCAGTGGAAACCTTCAGTTTTCATAAAAGGTGTTTAGTTTGTTCAGTCTCGACTAATGTAAAACACATGGCGGCCTCCGTAGATGAGACCCCCTCGATGTAAATATAAAGTATTTCAATATAAAGCGTCTTTTCTGGGGTAAAGAAAACTACAATTCATACAATTTAGATGAAACAAACTAGTGAAAACATCATGAGGATTATTCTACATTAAATTTCTGCCAATAGTTCCCTTTACCTAAATCTTACACACTGGACCTTTAAGGGAAATGTTCTTAAAGATCAACTTTTATTTTGCTGTGTGAATAAATGAGGGAAAATCATGTAGAAGTAAATAAACCCAAACATACACATACCCAAACTATGGAGGGCTTTGAAATGACTTGACTGGAAACGTTTGACACTAACAAGACACTTCTGAATATGTCGCAAAGCCATGTATGATACTACAAAGACTGACCTGTGATCTATGAGTAGAAGATTAACAAAGTAGAGCAACTTCCCCTCCCCTGTGTCTTTGGTTATTGGGGAGGTGTCACCACCACTTGCATTAATGGTGAAACCCAGCTTAGATCCACGTGGCAGATCCCTGAGGAGAACATCAAATTCAAGCCATTCATTCCACAGTACTTCATCTGCAAAGGTCTTGGGAACAGAGGAGACTGAAGAAAGAACTTTGGTGCCATAAAGTATAGAAGCTTCAACATAAACGGTCTGGGGGCATTTGTCTGGAAGATTTGGGATGTCAAAGCCAAGCAACTTGACTCTGAGTTTTCTGTTGCAGTCCCACAAAGATATCATGAAGATGTCATCCAGATCCTTCCCTTCCAGACAGAGATCATCATGGGAGCTGAACTGGCCACTGAAACCATCAACGAGCGGCCAGTCCACAAACTGGACGGTCTCCTTGACAAGCTGTGAGTGAGGCACCACAGAGAGGTGGAGGTCTTGATTGGTCCTCAAGCACTGTCGAACCCAGAGGAAATCGCTGAGAGGGTAGTCCCCTGATAAAAATTCCTCCCTGCCTGAGACTTTTAACGCAAAACTATCAGAAGTATCGGCATCAAGCCCCTGGTCTGCCAACACCCTTCTGAGAACTTCCAGAAGAACATCTGGGGTTGCACTAAAATCCACCTGAATGCTGAAGCTGATCTTGCTCATGTAATGGAGGGTGACAGGAAGCTTCCTTTGTAGTCGTTCCTGCAGTTCAGTTGGAATGGGGGCACTTGTTACCCAAGGCTCAGTGGCATACAACTTGTCATCTCGATTTCTTAGCTCTAGTCTTCTTGGAGATGCCAGTTTCCTGCGGGTGAATGTGAGCTCACCAAGTCTGTCAGACGCTTCCTTCTCGAGGTTGTGTCCAATCAGGTGAGCCAGACTCTGCAGGTGTTTCTTCTTCTCCTCCGAATCAACTGCCACCACAGATTTTAGCACCATGTGTGCAGAGAGGTGCCCAGTGTCGTCACGCAACCATGGAATGTCTAACGTCCCGATAACCTGACAGTCATCGTAGGCCTCGTACCAGTCATCCCCCCGAGCATATAACAGAGTGTAGGTCTCTGGGTCAAGTATTTCAACTGGAGCTGGATGACAGTTTCTTTCCTCAGCCTAAAGGCAAAGAGACAATGTTGATGGTTGCAGGTTGACAATATGTACAAGAACAAAGGTTTAAAGTTATGTTTGCAACCCTGTGAGGTTGTATAATAAACTTTAATTAGGATAAAGATCGTGTTGCATAGCATAGAGGTGCTAAAGCTGAAGTACTGTGAGGTCTGTGAGTCTGGGAATAGCTTTAATTTTAGTTTGACAAAATAAAATGAATGGATTTGGCTGTAACACTGTTTACCCCTGAGACTCCAGGAGTGTTTTGTGGACTCAAACACTTCACCCACCCCAGGGGTGAGTAGATAATGAAGGAATTTTCGTTTTTCGGTGAACTGTCCCTTTAAGGTTGTGGGGAGAGCTGGAGCCACTCCCGGCTAACATTGGGCAAGAGGCAGGGTACACCCTAGACAGGTCACCAGGGTATCACAGGGCCAACATATAGTGGCAGAAAGACTTAACACTCATATTCACACCTACAGGCTCATACATCTTTTTCACCAAAATGAGCAAATATACATTTTGAATGTGGGTAAACCCACTAATGAAGGTAGTTGACTCCTTTCCAAGTTTTTTTTCCTTGGTGCGTCACGTTTGACATCACAACTGCACCAAAAACTGCCAAATGAGTTCCTTCACCCAGGTGTCATGTTTCTGTCACTACACATCAGAGCCGGAGCCGATAAAATCCTGTGTCTTTTGAATACTGAATGCTGATTGAATCCAGTCCCATTGCAGACAAAAGACAGATGTTAAGTGGGTGTTTTGACCAGTGGAAAAGGGGGCCTTCCTTAACCTAATCCCAAATTGTATATCTTTTGACTGTGGGCTGAGTACCCAGAGAAAACAGACATGGAGAAGACATGCAAACTCTACACAGAAAGACCCCAGCCGTACTGGGGCACTGTACTGACACTTTTTTTTAACCTACCGATGCTGTTAAATAAGAGATCATAACTTCAAATCCTATCTCTGTACAAAATCCATGCCATAGAGAACTGTTTAATAGTTGTCAGGACATGTGCAAACAAACCAAATGGTAGTGCTAGATAAAGAAAGTAAGGAGATCAGTTCAGTATTGGGATTTAAACTGAACCAAATTTCAAGAAAATCAATCTTATTGTTGCTCAGACAAGTTTGGCCCAAGGTGGTGGATCAATCAGTGTTACCTGGAATTTTCCTGAACCTATATTCTTTATTTTTGATTCCCAACCACCACTAATACCACCATCAAACAAAATGACTGTGCCTTGGTGGATATTCAGGTTGCAAAGTGTTGTTACTTGTATCTATAAAGTACTCTGGAATGTACTTTATTGCAATGACCAGCTATGAATGTGCATATTAACAAAACATGAATACAACCTTCATAAAATATAGAATTTTAGTTGACCATCAAATAAATGTGGGCTTACCTGCAGACAGATGTGCAGCCTCAGCTGGTAGATGCTACACTGAGCAGGGAGGATGACTGACACTGACTTGCAGTCCATGTCAACATTGTAGCCCTCGTCACCAGGCCCAGGCTTAAACTCACAGATAAACTTCAGGTTGTTCTCAGAGCAGCTCTGTGTCGACATCTCTAATTGAGGCTCCGCAGCAGATGGGCTGTCAGACTGATTCACGAACCGTCGAGCATCCATTGATATAACCTGAAGTTAAAGGTGTACTTTTAAACATGTATCTGAGTGGTTATTAGAATGATTTACAGGTTGCTGATACGGCGGTGCAGATTTAGCAATTCAACTAGGACAAAGCAAATCAACTAGAAACCAAACAAACCTTATGATGATGGGTGCTGCGTTAAGGTGGAGTCCGTGTGAGTGTGTACCCGTGTGACAGTGTGAAACAGTGAGTTGTTTTTATGATCGCTCGAGACTTCCTCATTCTTTAATACCTGTTCTCAAACAGCAGCACAGAAAAAAATCCTAACAAGCATTTTTCTGATAAATGTTGGTTGACTTCCTTGTTTCCTGTTATAAATTAGAGCAAGTCTAACCTTTGTGACTTTTTCATTGTCAAGGGCCAGGGTTAATAAAGTTCTGCTATAAAAACCCCTGGTTTACCATTTAACTCTAGTTATGTCCTCAAAAAGAAAAGGACAGAGAAGGAAAATGAGAACTTCTGCGTACTTTAATTTTAACAGATTAAAAAGCGGCTAGACTCAAAGTGTTGCAGGAGAGCACCACAAACCGGTTTGGTTTGTCTGGCTTGTTCATCTTTGATGGCACTCTAGAGTGGAATGTGGATTCACCTTGAATTCTAGATGGTTCAAGTGAAGTTAATGATATTCAATCTGCCATAATGTCCCAGTGAGGATTTAAAGTGGCACTTGTTCCACACTTTAAAACAGTTGTGTACTTATGCAACATTAAACTAAACTTAAACAATAAGCTGACGTGCATGCTTTAAAGTGATCATTATTACCATAGATTTTAATCGAGATGCATATAAAAGAACACTGAGACCACTTTATTATAAAAGGAGTACTGTATAATAATAGTTTCATTCTTCATTTTCTATGCGACTCTTATTTCTTTTTAAGGGCTTCTTTTTTGTATTCATATGTTGTATTCGTATTTGTATCCAATGTTGTTTTTATAATTTTTCAAAATACTTTTTATATATATATTTTAATGTGTTTTGGCCTTGCCAGTTAGGGTGAAAGAGGTTTTGACCATCCTCACACAATGAGGAGAATAATGTGAATAGCTAATTCCACAAATACCCCCTTCTCTCCAAGCACTACCCAAGGTCAGGTTATAGATAAAGGGCAAATTGTAGTGTCTATGTTGAAGCTAAATGGATTTTGAAAAAGAGAAGGAATAGAGGGGAAGAGATGAAATGAAGGAGGAAGGAATAAAGAAATGGGAAATAAAAGTAATGATAATGGTAATAGTTAGATTAACGCAATAACAAACAACCTAATGTACTCCCACAGTCATTTCACCAATTTGCTCTCTCTCTTTCTCCATCCCTTTATGATTAATGGATCTATTTTCACTTTTCATTTGGATCCTCTCTGAACACATACCTGTCCATTCCCACACACATACATGCACCTGTCACACCATCTCACACAATATCCTCTGATTTGAAGGGGGATTCAAGCAGGGCCCTCTGTTTATGAATGGTAAAATAACTGTCCAGCAGATCCTCTCCACCAGCAGTCACAACAAGGCAGCAGTGGCTAATAACTTATCTTATGGGGCAACTGTGACACTCCACGAAATGTCCTCTAAGTCTGGCAACATGTCTGGTATTCATTTACACACCTACTTTTACAAATATATATGGCCAGGTGGAAAAATACCAGAATTCCATTTCAACTGTTTTTAACTGTTTCCTCTCTACATAACTACACATGCACCAATTTAATAATTAGCTGGACTTTGTATCAGTGTCTATTGTCTCATCTCTGTCTGTACATTTGTCTATTGTGTGTCTATAGTCCTTGATTGTTCAATTTGATCACATCGCAATAATCAGTGTATTTAAAACAGTGTAACCTGTCTGTCATTACATTGAAATGTAATGACAGACAGGTTTGTCATTACATTTCAATCAAAATGCACTTTCTATGCAACTCTTATTTCTTACAGCATGATGTTATTTCATGTATTGGTTTGATGTAGACATAAAATAGACCCCAGAAACCTCGGAGAGACAGAGAGAAATGCAATGGAGGTATAGCACGCACATGTATCCTGTCTCAATGTTATGATGCGATAAAGGACTTTATGATTACGATTAATTATTTCCTCTTTTATTTTGACATTTCCTTACTTATTTATCTGATTGATGTACTTCCTGTTTTGATCCTGTGTTCCTCATTTACGATTATCTGTGCTTCTGTATTTCGCCTGTGTCCAATGATCCTCCCTGTACTCTTTGTTCCTCTTCTCTGTTACAACACATTACTGATGACATGTCTGTATGATTTTCTGTTATGTCTTCCTGCTTGCTTTAAGTTCTTTTATTCACCGTCTAAAAAGGAACACAAACTGGCAACCCTTGATGAGAAATTTGTAAAGTTTAAAATTGTACGGAAAAAAATATTGACCTTCGGTGAATTGGTTTTGTTTGTTTCAAAAATAAGGGATTCATACGTTTTAAAGGTACAGTGTGTAGAATTTTGTGAATGAAATGCTTTTGAACCATANTCACTGTTAATTGATTTAGCTATCTTCTAAATTTAATAGAATTAAATTTGACTTCTGTGTCCTCTTTTGTTAATCTAAGTTTCCTATTTTGATGACATATATCTGTAAAAATATTACTGTGACTAACATTGAGAAAGATGTAAAGAATAATCTTTGGATGAACTCTTATTAAAGATATCTAAATGTAAAAAGGCTCAGCTGAGATCTCTATCCCAGATTTATTTTGCTGAACATTGAAGCTGAATATAAAAACATTGATAAAAAATGTCACTGCTCTACTTTATATTGAAGAGATGTTTGCGTGACCAGGACACCAACTGATTAAAGTTTGACTTTCATTCCTTCGTTTTTCATTCATTGATTTTGTTTTTATACATTAAAGTAGTGTTTAATTACCTTAACTGAACTGAATGGTTGAACGGTGTTTGGCAACATTAACAAAATTTGAACTAATGGTTGACATATATTGTTTTGTTCCTGTCTGTACTGAATGAAAAAAAAAAAAAAAAAAAAGGATCCCTCAGGCTAATGCCATATACAAAGGTTAACTAAGGTCAGAATTTATAAAACCTCAGGCTGTGGGTCAGAGCAACTTTGACTGATGAAAACAAACCTTTTTCCTATTACAGGATGTCTCATCTGCGTTAAACTGGAGAGGCTTACAAAGTAATCTCAAAGGGGATTTTCATCAGTCACACAAAGGCCCCACTCATACCCGGAATCGACATATGTGAATGTCTCAGGTGCTCCGACCACAAGTGGACAACTCTGAGTACGTCAGTTCACACCTGTCCTTACAAGAGGTTTGGTTGCAATGACTACTCGAGATCAGATGTATCCTTCATAAAAATGTACATTGTTTCTATTTGCAAAGAACAAATACAATGTTTGGCAACAATTCACTTCATTTGTCTATAGACTGAATTAAAAGTAAAGGGAATCAACACAATACACTCTGGGTCTGTTCCTGGATTCTCAGCATTTTCAGACATTGTGGACAAGGCCACCTTGCAGGAATTGGGAATGCAAATGAATACATACTGCCTGTAGAGAAGGTCAGCTTAGTAGGTTGCCCATCAATGTGGCCTGCAGGATACATTAGTGCATGCATTGCTGACAGCTCCATTAGCACCTTAGCAACTAGGGATGAGTGCCTGAAATTTAAAAAAAAATCGAATTCAAAGGTGGAGGCAAAAAATGTGGAGGGGCTTGTTGTATCGCCTGTTATTTTAATAACCCAACACTGCAGGATTATTAAATTCAGGGACAGCTGTGATGTCCCCAATCTATACAATTT